GGAGAAGAAGGACGGACAGAACACAGACCTTGTCATGAAGAATGCCCTTTGACAGGAAGCTGAATATTTTCCATTTTGTCAGAAAAAAGGAAGAGGATAGACACAAATATGCAGAGATTTGTAGGTATTATTCTAAAAGATAAGGGAGTTCCTATTTAATGTCTCCATTTACCTAGGGATCATCCAGTATTATCTGAGAAAAGGAGGAGAAATTGGGAGTCAAGCTTTCAGCATACAAGGAAGGTACCAAGCATTCAAAATGGAATATTGTGGTATGATAGATGGTTAGGTGTAGAGTGATTATTTGAAGCAGGAACCTAGAATTGACATATTATAAATCTTCAAGTTATGTCTGATTGTTCTGGGGTTGCCAAGGTACATAAATTAGGTCCATCCAGAGTGGAAGCATGATAGCCAGGTGAAACAAAACATGAGCAAAAAAGTGAATTTTTCCAAAAGAAAGTTGTAAGAGTAGACCATGGGATCAAGCTGAATAGGGAGAGAGATAAAGAGAGAAACTGGTGGCTAAAAACTGGGGAAGAAATTATGTTGGAAGGCTGAAGGAGGAGGAGAAACTGCTGTTTCTAATTAGTAAGTGATCTGGAAGAGTTTCAGTTCAATGACGGAGCATTCAAATGAGTGATGTGGAGGTCCCAGAGGTCAAGTTCCAGGGAGGAACTGGGAATGCAGGCAGCTGAGGTGAAGGCAGGATAATGCATCTGACAGAGGGAGAGAAATATTTGTAGTATATACAAAATTTGAGGCATTTTATTTTATTCTTAAAGAAGAATTTGTTTAGGAGAGAACAAAGCAAAATGGTAGGGAGTAGAAAGTATAGAGGAAAGTATCAAAGAATAGAAATACCCTTGAAGTTTACAAAAGGTTAGAGTTCACAGGTAGGAGTTCATTGAAAGTGTGGGAATGTAGGTCAAATAAAGTTCTAAAGGAACAAGTCTGAAAGTTCAAGTACTTTTGATTTATTGCTCATTGTCAGGCATGAAGTCATCAAACACTGGGACGTTTAAATATTACAAATAATTATTTTCATTTTATTTGTTCTTTGAAAATTGTGACTATGTGGGTTGGAAGTTTTGACAATTCTGGAAAGTTTTTGTTTTAGCCATTTTGGCCTTAATTCTGTTCATTATTCATTATTTTCTCTCTAGAACTTCCATGCTGGACTTCTAAACCATAAATACATATAAATGACAGAGAAGCACACTGAATAATTTTAAATCATCAAAAGTTATTTATAGACCCTTCCTTCCTTCCCATTCCGCTAGAGCAATAAGACAAGAAACGGGGATCAAAGGGATACAAATTGTAAAGGAAGAAGTCAAACTTTCACTATTTGCAGATGATCTGATAGTCTACATTAGTGAACCGAAAAACTCTACTAGGGAACTCCTACAGCTGATAAACACCTTCAGCAAAGTGGCAGGATACAAAATTAACTCAAAAAATCAGTAGCCCTACTATATACAGAAGATAAAACCAATGAGAAAGAAATCAGGGAAACATCACCGTTCACAATATCCACAAGCAACATAAAATATCTTGGGGTAATACTAACCAAAAAAGTGAAAGACCTGTACAATAAGAACTTTGAGACTTTAAAGAAAGAAATTAAAGAAGATACCAGAAAATGGAAAGATCTCCCATGCTCTTGGATAGGTAGAATCAACATAGTAAAAATGGCAATCTTGCCAAAAGCAATCTACAGATTCAACACAATCCCCATCAAAATCCCAACACAGTTTTTCACAGACATTGAAAGAATAATACTCAACTCTATATGGAAAAATAAAAAACCCAGGATAGCCAAAACAACTCTTTACAATAAA